TATTAAATTAAAAATGAGAACAGGGACGGGTACGGGGACGGGTACGGGGCGGGTAAGTACATACCCGTACCCGTACCCGTACTCGATTTAATATATCGAGTTTTACCCGTACCTGTACCCGTACCCGGTCAAATCGAGTATTTCCCGTCAAAGTCGGGACGGGTTCGGGTATTACCCGCGGGTACGGATATATTTGTCATCTCTAGAGTGATGGCTAAGAGCGAAACAGCCGAAACAATGGTATGAGACGAAGATCAACTAGGATACCGATGGATGCACAAACGGGTGTGTTTTATTTAATCCGTCTTTTTATATATATATAATGAATTTAAAATTGTTAATGGATATTTAAATTTATAAATTTTAAAATTTTATTTCATTAATTCAAATTAATAAATAATTATAAAATTATTTTATACATTAATTTTTTTTTAATAATTAACGAAAGTTAAAATTTTTTATATATTAATTTAAATTAATAAAATAAAATATTAATTTTTTTTAACTTACAAATTTAATATATACATTAAGAATTTTAAATTAAAAAATTGAGTCGTTAAAATTTATTGTAAAATATGAATTATTAAGTTTATATAAATTTTTTGAAATAATCAAATCCATCCTTTTATATATATATATATATATGAGGAAGGTTCAAACGACACCGGTGTAACTTTTACTAAGTGTTACACCGCTCAATAACTTTATATTAAACGTGAATTTTGAAAATCCAACCGTTAGATTGAAAGTTCATATCTCTTAGATCATATATATCAAATTTTACATTAATCTAAGATGATTTGGTACTTCATTCTTATAAAACAAAATTAACGTAATATATACATTTTAAAATATACTAAAATATGAACACTTTGATTACTTTCAAGTTGTTGTTCAATTTTAACAAAATTTGACATATATGATCTAAGAGATATGAACTTTCAATCTAACGGTTGGATTTTCAAAATTTACATTTAATATAAAGTTATTGAGCGGTGTAACACTTAGTAAAAGTTACACCGGTGTCGTTTGAACCCTCCTCTATATATATATATATAAATTAAAGTTTTACCACCTGCATTTAATCTTTCTTTAATTTTATTTTAGAACAATAAATCATCTTCATGAAAGAAAAATTCTTTTAATGAATTAAATTATACAACAGGGTCAATAACGGTCGGAGAAAATTATACTATTTAGTTTATATAAATAAAATTAATATTTATTTCAATTTAAATTTGAAGATAATAATATAATTACAATAATATTTCAATAATATATTATAAATTATAATATAATAATTATTTTAAACAAAAGTAATTTTAGAGACAACACTCAAGCTTATAATATTTTTTTTTCTTTTGACAAGAGTGTTTTCATAAATTCTTCTTAATATTCTATTTATTTTAACTTATTATTTTATAAACTAATTTTTAACATTTTTAGAAGACATGATTGATACTTAAGTAATTTTTCATTGCAGTATACCTTATTTATTATAAACCTAAGATATGTTTTATATAATAAAAAATATTTATCACATATCATAATCATAATTTTTATATAAAAATTAATACTATTTGTTTTAAATTATAAAAAACAATTTATTCATAAGTACTTATTCATTGATTTTGATGTAAGTTTGGAAAAAATTATGAACAATTTATTTTATTCTATTGATGCTTATAAGAGTGTTTAAACAAACATATAAATTTTTTTATGAGTAATATATAAGACATTATAATTTATTTAAATAAACTGTGGAGTACCACTTATTACTTAACTTATGTAAAAATTTATTAGAAAATGTCAAATTCGAATCCATTCATAAATATATTTTTATATATTATGTTTTCATTCTTTCACTAATTAAAAATCAGTTATATATATTTTGATTTTCATTATTCGCTTTAAAAATTTTCGTTTCTATCTCTAAAAGTTTTTGTTTCTCTTTATTTTTTCCCTTTTCTAGATTTTTTTCTATCTCTTCCCACTAAAATCCGCATTCTTCTATTATAAAAAAAATTTATAACTTTTTTAATTTTTCTCTCTAAAATAGCATAGATAAAATAATTTTGTTCTTGATATTTACACAATAATTTTTTAATCATTAATTTATAAAATACATAGAATTAATTTTTAATTTTTAAAAATTATGACTCATAAATTTTAATTATGATTATATATGAAATTGATTTCTCATATTTTATTATTAATTTAATTTATTTATAACGTAAAATTAGGTGAATGATAATTAGTATTTTTTTTATCATTTTTAATATTATTGTGACATATAATATCATTTTTAAAAATTATTTAGTTATTTTTATATTTTTATTTTATTTTTAGTTAAAATTTAATTTGTAATTTTTTAATTTATAAAATAAGATAACATTTTATAAATACTTTAAAAAATGATATATCTAAACACTTTAAAATTGTATAAGTACTTCTATCTATCTATCTATCTATCTATCTATTTATCTATCTATCTATCTATATATATATATATATATATAAAAGTGCAATAACTTATTGAATTTTAAATACTTATGACATAAATTTTTATTACATTTTTTTATTATAAAAGATCTTAAATGTTCATTCATGTCCAAATGCTGTAACCTCCCTACTCCCCATCACAGTATAATATGGCTTAGAAAACACAAAGATGTTAATATATGCTTAATATGCTCTAAGCAGGCTGAAGCATGTTTGAAAAAAAAAAGATATTTTTATTAATATTTACACTTTACAGTACTCATGCCCTTCTAAGAAATATAACAAGTGTATAAAGTAGTGAACTAATATTTCATACACTTGATACTAATTAATATAGATGAACAGCTTCAAGGATCAGAATGAGAATAATAATAACAGTGATTACATTGGTCTTCCAAGTCTTGCATAAGTATATTATGACACCCTCTTGAGGAAAATTTAACTTTCAAACTTCAAGATCAGTTTATACAAGGCCATGATACTTCTTTGGCATTACTATAAGAAGAATTACGACAAAGTATTGTTTATCATTACTCACTTTTCTTACACCAGTGATACTTCTTTGGCAACCTTTTTTTTCTCTTCCTCCTATCAACTACCATAACCTTCTTATTCTTTTCACAAGCCAAACTCCTACACAACCTTGAAATTTAATCTTTGATCGATTGAAAGCAGATATATGAAGTCCCCCCAAGCTTCTAACCCAGAAAAGTGCCACATACATCATGCCACAACCAAATGCCTGAGACATATCAGTGTTGATTCTCTCAAGAGTCAATAGCTTATGCCAATATAAGAGGAATCTGCTTCCTACAAGCAACAACTTAGGTCCATCCATTACATACCACGTTACTGGCTTAATTGTTAAGAATTTTGCCCATCAAATTTGACCACAAGAAGCACTTTCTTATCATATAGACTGTGATTTGAGTACAAGTTTAGAATCGAATTATTTTTTTTGGAACTTATCTACCAAAAATAATGAACTTTTTTTTTTGTTGATGAAAAAGCTCTAAAAATCTCTGAACAGATTCATATTCCACCAAGATTTCCCCCACAACAATTGACCATGAAAATCCCACCATCTCACCAGTAGCTCAATTTACCAATCCATGCTCAGTGTCCAAATTCTTAACCAGTATAACTCTTGCACCTTCACAAAGAGAAATTTCATCAGGTGCCATCCCATGCCTAAGATCCCCCTAGCTTTCAATGCCCCTAACCATTACCAACAACTCTATAAACAACAACATCCTTTTGCAAACTTCTCACGCTCTCCTCATTCACTCTTTCCACATCTTTATTCAAAGGAAAAAGCTTCACAATAATACAAGGAAACACTCACCACTCCCCAAGCACTAGTGCTTAAGTCCAAATCATAGGAATTAGTCTATGTTAAAGATTTCACATCATCTAATGATATGATCAAATTAGTGCATATAATTAGGACTTTACGAGTTAGTTTTGTAAGATTGAATTAGAAAGAGACACTCACTACTCCCGAAGTACTAGTGCTCTTGAAAGTCCAAATCTTGAGAACTAGTCTCTGTTAAAGATTCCACGTTGCTTAATGATATGACTAAATTAGTGTATATAATTGGAAAAACGATTAAAACTTTATAAATTAGTTTTGTAAGATTGAATTAGAATAGATCAATTTTCTTAAGATAATATCAATGTCTATCTTAATTCCGTGTGAAAAAAGTGTGTTGAAGATCTTATATCGTCCAGAGAGATAATCATAATACTTTATATACAAATGAAGTTTGAGAGCAATTGTCACTTTACAATCCAGTGTTAATTCACTTTCTTTAAGACTCTATCTTCTCGTGATTCCCTCAAGCAAACTAATATTTCCATAATTTGATTGTCTAAACACTCTTGTGAGTTCCACCTTCAAATCAAAGCTCCTATTCCAACACTCAAGATATGTTTGGATACGATTTAGAACCATGTTCAATAGAAAAACATGCTTTCCAATGAAATGAAAAAAAGAAAAAAAGAAGCAAAATTTTGTGAATGTAGTTTTTTCTTTTCAACCTTAGATGAGTACAACTTTAACTGATTTTCACAGACATTCTCAGCTTCAAATGCACACATCATCCCTTCTGAATTGATTGCACTCACCATGCTGATCTCATCTATGACCAAAGCCTGAACCTTTCTCCACCTCCTGCAGGAACCCTTGTTGGAAAAAAGGTGAGAATCATCATCAGTGAGAATGCCAATGCCAGCAAATGAATGCAAAGTTTGTCCCTTTAGAGCACAAGCTGCAAC